TGCTACAACAAAATCTTGCCATAAATATTAAACTTTGAACGTCCTCACTGGCATGAATCCACTGATGGTGACTTAAAGTCCAGATTCACTGGTGCTGATGTTCCAGATAGTCAGTGATCCAGTTTCTCGGTCCAGCTTTAGTCTGTTCATGAGTCTTGGTTCATAATGAGTGAAAACTGATCCTTTATACAGCTGTGCTATACGGGTAGTTTGGTCTCCACTTTCAAACAGCCACATTACTTCAGCGTCTCTCTCTAGGCCAGTTGCTCCTGTTTGCAGAGTGACAACTTTTCCCTTCATGACAATCTTTAACTCATCCCACCTACCATTTACAAGATCTAAAACAATACCAAAATGTATTTAATATTAGTTAAGCACTAATATAAGTACTAATATAAGTACCTAAAGTACTAAAATTAAAAGCATACATCAGGAATATGGCCTGGAACGTCCGTAGAATCAACCATGTAATATTCAGGTTTAAATAACTATTAAGCATATAAGTTGTCAGATTTTAGATTTAGATTTTTTTTTTTAAATTACAAAGTTAATTTACGTATTTTTAACACACTTCCACAATCCTATCATTTAAGATGCATGACAAGTGTACAGTAAATCAGTTGAACACAAAACCATCAGCATATTACAATGATTTTTGAAGTGACATTGAAGACTGGAGTAATGATGCAGAAAATTCAGCTTTGCAACACAGGAATAAATTACATTTTACAATATATCCAAACAGAAAACAGTTATTTTAAATTGTAATAATATTTCACAATTGTATTGTTTTTACTGTATTTTTAATCAAATAAATGCAGTCTTGGTGAGCAGAAGAGATGTCTTTCAAACTTTTGACCCGTAGTGCATAAGTAAAAACAAAAAGTACAGTTCTTTGGATTAACTGTACTTCTACCTTATATTACTGTCATGAATTTCAATAATTTTTCAGAGGACAGCAGAATAAACACTGACACATCTATTTCTCCTGGTTGCATTGAGTAGAGTTCACAGTTGGCATGACAGCACCAGTGTTTGCTGCCAGCCAACCAGTGACCATACAACCACAAAAAACATTCTGCATGTAAAACAAAGAAACAACAACAGAACATTAGGTTTTAGATAGCCTACCTTTCACGCTGATGAAAAACACAGTGTAACCCCACATACAGAAGAATGTTTTAACAGGTATCATATCAGAAATTATTGTAGGTTTGCCTGAACATTCAATGAAGATCTTGTGTCTCAACTACTTTTCATCAGGAAGTGACACTGGGTAAGTATAGGGGTAATAGGGGTAAGTTCAGTCTTCAATTAAACCATATGAAACAGTGCTAAATTCTTATCTGCGTTGGGTTGTCATGGTCCAGAATAGAGTTGATTGATTGATTGCATAGAGGCCTTTAAATAATAGATATCTTAATAAGAGACGGGGAAAAATTACCAATAAAGGTAGTGAAATTTCAGGTTAACCAAAACCAAACCAAACACAATGTACCTAATGCTATCCTTTCTCACTCCCAAGGTGTTTAATGATAATAATAAAAACACATTTCACCATTAATATATAAATTCTCCATTGTTTTTCTATGGTAAAATGCAATACCATTAAAGTAATTTACAGAACACTCATTCAAAGCTGATTACCTCTGACAAACGTCTATGGAGCTTCTGCTGGACAGTAAAATATATGAATCTGCAGTGTGTGCCGCTCTGAAACCAGTTACCTAATCCAGTTCCCATCAGCCACCTGAGGTCAACTGATCCAAGATCTGCTGCAGGAGGATGGTTTAAGGTCTTGTGGTATGACTGCTTTTTTAAGTCCTGAAAGTGGCCTGCAAGGAAGAAGACATCTTTGAGAAGTAGTTTCCACCAAGGGCATAAAATTTAGGGATGCTAGGGACATGTTCCTATATAAAAATATATATATATTTCTGTTTTATTTTTTATTAAACAGTACAAAACATCAAACCAAGGCAGTACAGTTATAAAAAACAGAAAGAAAGAAGGTACACAGATACAAATCTCTTAAGAAAATTAACCAGGGTTTTATTATACCCTGTTGAAAAAAACAGCATATGCTGGTTAGGTATGTTTTGACGCTGGGAGTGTAGCAATCAAGTTTTTTTTTGGCGTATTGATTAGCAGTTGCATAACCACAGTTTTACTACAAATATCATGGTTAAACTGTAGTTAGTGTAGCAAATGGATATAAAGATACAGTTTTTAATGTTTTAGGATTAACAGCGCTTTGGATGGTTTCCATATACTTGTCTAGATCAACGTTGAATAAAGAAAAAATAGTTTTAAAGCATTACATTTGTATGTATGTGAAAATTAGCTAGCAGGAAACTCTAATTAATGAAGTTATATTTTGTTGTATTTTCTTTTGAGCAGTAAAACCTTTTTTTAAAACTGCTGTAATTTTGTTGGTTTTACATAAAACGGTGTAATTATTGACTGATGAATATGCCAACATAAACCTCTCTTTATGAATTATGAGAATGTTAGCTACATAGCTAAAAGTAAAGACTTTAGATGACATGAAACTGTGGTCAAAAGGCTATCATAAGTACCAAAATGTTGGGGTAGTTGGATCGGGGGGTTGAGGGTGTTGTCTCTAGTTATATGTCCCCACCAATGTCAAAATCAAACCTTGTCCTGGTCCTTGTGGATCCAACGATGAAGGAGGCCCTCTAGTGGCGTGATGTACCTTTAAAAAAAAAACAATACTTGAAAGTCTCGACTAGAGCAAAAAGGGCAACGACAGAATAAAGCAATAAGCCCCGTGAAGCCGTGGTTTACAGTGAATTTATAACAGCTGAGGGGCGTTGTTAGGCACGACGCTAAGCGGAGTGACTAAAACCCCCTTAGCTGTTATAAATACGGTTATTCCATATATGTAGTAAGGTTTCACAAAATAAAACGGAGCAAATAAAGTGTAATATTAATAAAAACAGTATTCTTCCACCAAACAATGTAGTTCCTCAGCATCAGTTGTGGTTGCCGAGCAATGTTTGTAGAGTAACAGCTTCACGCGGCTCAACCAATCAGAATCAAGGACCGGAACTATCTGTTTTATAAAAGGGCATTTTATGAGACAGCAATGTAGTTATGTCTCCTCCATTTCTGCAGATTTCATAAGGATACATTAGCAGACAAATGCTACAGTATGTGCAGAATAGCATACTAACATCCAACCCTTACTATTTCTGCAGTATAGCATGTACACTGTATACTATACTATACATGATACAAGTATTGTATGTATAGTAAACATTGTAGCTTGAAAGATGTTATAATGTTTCACATACTCTGTTGAATAAAAGCAGCCATGACGTCAATGCTCAAAATCTGTTTCTGATGTAAATCAAGAAATCAAGGCCGTTTCCACAGTGCTGAAAGCAAACCCAGAAGAAAAACAAAGTGCTAAATATTTTATTAGCATATTGAGTGAATTACTGTCCCCATAGAAAAGAAACCTCTGCTGTGTATGTAATGTGTGTGTGTATGTGAATATATTTAAAGAAAAGAAATACAATCGGGGAGCAAAAGCAAACTGCAAATATTACACCAGTTCCCCAAACACGAGCACAAATTTCCTCTCTGACAAGAATTAATGCCACTAATTATTCTCAGTGCTCACAAATGAAAATCACTTTATCAACACAAAAATACCAAGTAGTAATTTTCTGTGGGAATTTCCTACAGCAAAGGAAAGCAGACTTTCTGCTTCTTCGTGTCTCTCCAAATTAATTCATGAACGAGTATTATATACTGTACAAACACTTTCAAATAATGATACGCAAATATATGAAATTAGAAATATATAAATGGAAACCGGTCCAGGCAGATGTACCCCTGAGAGTCAAAACCATAATCATGCAGAAAATATCAAAACAATGAATAATAATAATAATAATAATGTGTGAATTTCAGAAGAATAACAAAATAGTCACTTACAAGAAAAAAATAAATACATAATTGCACATTGCACAAAAGCTCCTTGTGATATTAAATCTCTTGCGGCAAAGCTGTAATATATTCAATAATTATACAATGCAAGTGCTGTTTAAGACATGATACTGGCATCAGGCTACACCATTTCTGCCAAATACGACATCATAAATATGTAAATACCTTTATATAATATCTTTTAATGAGGACGTTTTGTATGGAAGCTTATTTCTGCCACAGAATAAAAAATAAAGGTTATTGCAACTTTTTATCTCAAAATTCTGACTCTTTATCTTGCAACTGCAAATTATAAACTTGCAATTCTGAGTTTACATTTTACAAATGTTGTGTTTAAATTTAATTCCGAGTTAGAATTCAGAGATAAAAAGTAGCAATTACTGTTTTTTGGTTTCCACAAAGTAATTCCGACTTTTTTTTCTTGGAATTCTAACTACATTTCACAAGTTTAATTGTGAGTTTACATTTCACAAGAAAACGTTCAGAATTGTGAGATAAAGTCGCATTTAATTTTCCAAGCCTGACCTTTTTTCTCACTCAGAATTCCGAGTTTGCATCTCACAATTATTTTTTTTTTGGTTTGTTTTTTCCCAACTACATCTTGCAATTCGGGCTCTATATCTGGTAATTCTGAATGTTTATCTTGCACTTGCAAAAATCAGAATTGTGAGTTAAACTCACAATAAGCTTTTTAATTTTTTTAATTGTGTGTCAGAAATAAGCTTTAATCATTTTGATAGCTAGAACATACATGACCGTGATAGACTCTTCTAAAAGTGCGAGATGCAATACAATCGCACACGTGTGCACAAACATCTGCCCCAGTGAAGTCCGTGTGTTTGAGCGTGAGAGTTTGAAGCGAGTCAAAGGCCGTGTCTGGGCAGTGAAGACTGGGACGGATCTGCAGTTCCACAACATTTTCTACAGTCTCCAGAGTTTCTGTATCCATTTAAAAGCACGTTTATGTTGGAGCGAGACCGTAGCGGCCGGCACTAGTTTCCAAATCTTCAGTGTCATAAATCTGTGTGTGCAGATGCGTTGAACTCTTTGGTTTTCAAGAGCAGGGTCTCTGCACAAAGATGTGCAATGTATGCATTTGTGCCTGCAAGTCATTGGGTTTGTTTATATTGTGTGATATAAGTGAGTCTTTAAAGAGACAGTTCACCCAGAAATTAATATTTATTCACCCTTTTGTCAATGCAAACCTGTATGACATTCTTTTTTTCATTGAGTGCATTTTGACTTTCTTTCTATTTTCCATCTATGCTATAAAAGTAAATAGTGAGCTGTTGAGGCTCAAAAATGACACCAAGTCATGATTCACTGAAAATTTTAAGCACTGCAAAACTGGTTATGAGGCACATGAGAAGCGTTGATTTTTTTGGCATTACTCAAACTAAACAAAGCTGCGATTTGAGACAGAAAAACAACTTTTATATGAAAGCCTAATAAAACTTCACATCAATCACGTGGCTTCAAGGACTTTATTCAAGGATTTAATGCTGCTTTTTGTCCTCCTTGCTGATCTTTTGACCTTTCAGTTTTATTGTATGGAAAAGAGAACATCATGCAACTTTTTCCTTTTGTTTTCCACAAAAGATAACGAGTCATGGAAGGTTTGTAAAGGCATGAGGATGAGTAAATGATGAGCTTAATGGGGAACTACTCTATTAAGGTGTTGTGGCATTCAAAAAAGTGTGTGTTTGTTCGTCTCAGTCCCAGAGCACCTGGGATGCTGCGGTTGAATGTCTCTTGGCCTCCAGTACTGAGTTCCCCAGCAGTTCATCGTTGACTTCCTTCAACCTCTTCTCCTCCAGGAAGGCAACCAGTGAATCCCTCATGTCCACCACGTCCAGCATCTCCTGCAGGACCTGATTCTCATGTTCTCGCTGCTCAGGGATTTTCTCAGAGTCTACATGCACAAGAACATCGAAACACGTTAATGCATGTGTGCATATGTTCACATAATAAAAAACCCCCCACCAAATTAATACTTTATTTAAATATCAATAACAAAATTAATAACAGCATAATTTAATCTTAGTATTAACTTGTTTAAATACTTCAAACTACGGTATTTAATTCAATTACTTAAATGATAAAAATAAGAATATGTAATATACTTTAAATATTTAATATTATATAATTTTAAACAATAAAAACATTTATTTCTGGCTTTTTGCTCATTGTGTTGGAGCATGTGCAACAGCTAAACAACAACAATACTAATTTATTATTTCATATTATTATTATTAAATAACTATTTAAATTATTACAAATATTTAATATATTATAATTCAAATATATAAATGAATACAATAAAATTATTTGTTTTGGAGTTTTCTGCTCATTGTGTTGGAGGAACTAAAACAACAACAACAATAATTATAATAATAATAATAATAACGATTTCTATTCTTATTACTATTATTAATTATACATGACGCTTTCATGACCTCATATTAATTGCCAAATGACTATTATATAAAGAGAACACTGTACTTCGATATTAATAATAACTTAATTCTGATTTAATATTAAAATTAAATTGTTAAAATCAATTAGTAATATTTAACAAGAATTTTTGTAATTTTATTTATTAGCTTGTTTACTTTGTGTTATTATTATTATTATTAGCAATAATAATAACAACAAAAAATATTAATATGAATAAAACATCATTTTTAATTTGCATTTTAATTTAATTATATAATGACAAATCAACACTATATAGTACTATTTACAAACTGAAATATTAGCAAACTAATTTCTCGGTAAAACAGAACCCGTTTTCATTTCCCACCATCCATTTCCATGTATCTCCGTAGCTCCATCTCTAACATGCTCTGTTTGTCTTCCAGCTCCAGCTGTCTAGACCTTTGAAACACAAAACCAGAATCACACAAAAATATTCTTCTGCTGTTAGCACAGCCTGTAATTTAGTTTCTGCATAGAGGATCCAACTGTGCACAATATATGCTAAATACATGTAAAGCGGTGGGTTAAATAAATGAGGCCACTCGAAGCATTCATCTTAAGCATCAGTGCTCGTTGCCAGGGGCAACAAGACGACGAGGCTTGAGGTTTTTCTTCAACACATGCAAAAATAGATGATGCACTTGGAGCAATAACTGCTATTGAGCTCCTTAATGTTAATTGTGTTAACGCTGACATGATTACTTTGTCACAGTGTTCAGACTTACGCAACCATGAGATCCGACTCCTCTGAGAGCAGATTGTTCTTCTCCTGGACCAGATCAATCCAGTGATCAATCGTTTCAGGGTCTGAACCTAAAACACACACAGAGTTAAAACAAGATCTCTTTACTCTCGGTCGTCGCCACACTTTGACACCCTTTGGCTTCACTCAACCAACCTATAGTACATTCTGGGAAGCTTACACAACAGTACTGAAGGAGTTTCCATGCATGTAGGGCACAAAAAAGCTTTTAATTGATTTCATCTGAAGAAATTCATATGCAACGAATAAATAAATGTAAGCGTTGTTACTTATTCTTGTACAAATATCTAATAAACATTTTTTTTTAAAAAGAACATTCATGTTCACTGAAAGCCTTATGTTTGTTCCATGTTGGAATGAAAATAAATGATAAATGGAAATTAAAAAATATATATATGTATATACAATAAATATACATTTTTTATTAATTAATACAATACAATTTAACACAATAAAAACGTTTTGGCTTTTTTGCTCATTGTATTGGAACACTAACAGCTAGATGACAACAACAACAATAATAATAATAATAACAATAATAATATAATTATACATGAAACTTATGACTAGTGATTGACCGATATTGATATTTTATAACCGATACGATACCAATTATTTGCCTGTTTATGTGCCCGATAACCGATATGCAGAACCAATATTTATTTGCTGTTTTAAATGACTGAGTGAAGTAAGTCCAACGTTTTTCCTCCTTTCAGTCATAAAAGTGTTGAAAAACATCTTTCATGTTAAATTGAATCTTCATATTACAACAATAAAAATACATTTTATTTAAAGCATCAGCAGCAACACTAATATTAACAATAAGCAAAATAAATGTAGAAGGTCTAATGTTTTCAAATGGAGAAAATAAATAAAGGAAAGGAATCATATCAACTTAATTTTAAACTACAGTTTTAGTAGGTTTATAAGCTGTTTAATGTTATTAATTATTAATGTTGAATTAATAATGTTAATTCACTGAATAATATTCTCTGGAATATTGAAATATAACAAACAAAACATCGTATTTTATTGCATTTCTCAACTGGCATGTTATATCAGAATTACTAATAATGTTTTTGTCGTTCTAGATTATGAAATGCCTACTGACAGCGCAGTTTATATACACAGAACTATACTCAAACTGCGATCGCTCGTGGAGATAATAAATAATTAATTTCCATAGAGTTGTTTATTTCCAACATGCGCCCATTCAAGGCTGCATATTATTTAATTCACGCAAAGTTACGTCTTTACTGGGACAGGACTTGACGGATTATCTTACATGACTCCGTGAGTTCGTTTCTATTTCTTCGAGCCAAGCTACATAAACTGCATATCAGGCATTTTGTTGTAATACATGTAATTTGTGCATGAATGGCTGTTATGTTAAATAAAGTTTACTAACTACAGTAAATCAAGTACCTGTGCACGCCGTTGTTGTTGTCTTGTTTCCCCTCAGACGTGCTGCAATGTTGATCCTGCGCGCAATTCTCAAAACATCCACAAGATGGCGGCATTTATCGGTGAATCCGATATTACAAAACCGATATCCGATTATTGTAAAATGCTTAAATATC